TTAGTGATAAGACATTGTGTCCAGCTTTGTCTTTGAGAATAAAAGCAACACATTAATTCAAAAGCTATCTGTCCTGCTTGTTGATCTTTCTAAGCTTCTTTCTGTTTTCTTTGCATCAAAAAAATGCTTCATTGATGCTATTTTTCTTTCTTCTTAATCTTTTAACACTATCACTATTCCTCCCCCCAGAATATTACCTTCATCAAAGAGTTTTTTTTTTAACTTTTCTTGTAACAGTCACACATTGAGCAATCCCAAAATGTATACCTGCATTCTACACCTCTAGTCTTTCACCAGTCTGTCAGGGGATGAGAAACATACTTTAGCATCAGTCCTCTACAATTGTGTTTGGTCATTACATCGATCAAAGTTCCTACGCCGTACAAAGTTGTTTTTCTCATTGTAAATCAGGAAAAAACAGAATAGCATATTCCAAAAAGCAAAGGAACCCAAGGGAGGCCACATGATGTGGCAAAAAGAACATTGAACGTACAATCACACACCTGGACCTTAACACTACTGATTAATCACAATGACTAAGGTTCTTTCCTGCTCTCGAGCTATAATCCTAAATTTCATCCTCAAATAAAATATCCTGTAAGCTAGGCGTAGTCATTACTGAAAAGTCATCTTCAAGAAAAAGAAACATTTGAGTCATTCCTACAAAAATATCAAAACCAAAAAACAACAACAAACAATAATCCAGAGGTGAGAGCAGAATATTTGACTTGCAAGCATTCCAAACAAGAAAAACAAAGGAAAGGTAAATAAGTATAATTATCAAGAAAAGATTAAGCAATGAAATAAATTCTCTCCTGCATAGTATTATTATTATTTAAAGAAACTGGGCTAATGGGTAAAAGAAAGAACAGAAGTGCCATCAAGGGGGAAAAAATTACCTAAAGAGAATTAGAAGAAGCAGGAGGAGGAAAGAAAGAAAAACTGGATGAATATTGTGGGGATTAAGTCCCACTCTCCTCTGTAAGTGAATTAATATATTTTGGAATAGGGACAGAGTGGAAAGTTCCTTGAACAAGAAAAGGGAAGGCAAGGAACAGAGGGGAATTGCAGATATACCTTCTAAGTCGCCTTTGGTGAGAAGAGAATGGATGGTAATTTATTTAATCTCTCAACAATAGTGTAGGTGGGGGTGTTGGTGGGGTTGCTGTAGGGAAAGTAGCATACAAGCAAAAGATGGAAAGGATTGTCATGGCAAGACTGTAACACTGGTCTTTTCCTAGAGGTGACAATGAAAAAGTCTCATAGAAATATTCCCACACATGACTAATAATGGGATTCATCTAGGGCTAATGGGTGTAATAATTGGAGGCCACCTTCTCCAAAGAATACTTGTACTTCCCAGAATTGGATCACACCCTAGCAGAGAGAATGTCCTCAGGGGCAGCCAGCTCCCAAGGTGGTAGGGGGCTCATGGACCCAGAGAGACAAGATAACCTGGCTTGCAGAGTTGGAAAGTCAAGACATGACCCTATGATGTCATTGGTCCTCTTTGAAAATGAAGGATGAATAACAGTCACTGTAAGGGCAAGGGGTTAGACTAGGCTTCATGACCTAGGATATAAGGACTCCAACCACATGACACCACTTCCTTCATTAACTGATATTTCTGTAAGTGAGACAAAGTAGGAAAAGATATCATCAAAAACAAAGCAAAATAAAAATTAGGCACATGCATACACACGTAATGAGGGTTGCATAGAACACAGGCAGAGATTCCCTGCCTGCTACCAGCTGATCCCATGTGTTTGACTTGGTGCTGTGGGGACTTAGCCTCCTTTTTTGGGTCTTTTCTTGGAAAGTCTACTGACAAAGGGAACTACTTGCCGAACATTAGAAAACTGAAGACAGAGAGTGGGCCCCAAGCTATATCTCCTTTTTTAACTGGCACAGCGCCCTGCCCACTGCAGCTGTCCTGAGAGACGACGCAGGGTTTTCTGCATCATACTAGAGCAGTACTGAACCACTCATCTTCCCCAAAGCACAAGTGGTTGTCTGGAAACAATCAGAAGACCCCTACACATGCTCTGTGTAATGCCTGGTCACACATATACAAGCACAAAAGCAATAACACATATAAATGGATGGATGAGAGTTCTCAAATCTGGAACTCCAGGAGGTTTACCTTCACAAGGGACATAGAGAAAACAGAAAGCAGAAGGAAGCACACAGACATAGGCTAATATAATTCAGAAGAGACTAGAAAGAGAGAGAAATATGAAAGAGGGCAAAGTAAATAAAAATTCCTTGGAAAAAAAGGTGGCCACAAAACATTTCTTGGACATTAAGTTGAGGGAAGAGGAAGAGTGAAAATAGGAGAGCAAATGAAAGAAAAATAGGAACAATTTAAGTAAATTCAAGAAACTTGGGGTAGGAAATGTAAAGGGGAATGGGTAGGGTAAGAAAAGAAGCTATGGGAAAAGCCTAGCATTCAACTATTGTAAGCAAAACTAATCACAGGTGTAAGGTGATGATGTTTTTCAAAGAGGAGATAAAAATCAATACAAAAGAAATAAGGGAAGGAAAACATAACCCTAGCATTCATGCTCATTTTAAATGTGAAGAGGTTTTATAATCTGATAATTGTTTGTGAATAGACTGGAAGAGAATAGAAAGATAATAACAGGAATAAACAAACAAAACTCAACAATTTGCTGCATAAAATAAATATCTAAAAATACAGAATAAAAATAAGAAATTGGAAAAAATCCACTACACACCAGGTAATTCTAAAAAGTAAGAATTACAATCATGTTTTCAAAGGAAAAATAAAAGTGACAATGTTAAGAGAGGTAAACAGAGATAATACATTAGAACCAAGGCTGCTATAGACAATGAAACAAATATTAAACATATATGCATAGAATGAAATAACATCTACATTCATAAAAGTTCACTGAAATGAAAAAACACATACACAGTAAAACTAATTGTGAGAAATGTTCACGTTCTCCCAGGCTGGGTTAATGAACCATGAAGACAAAAAGGGAAATATAGAATAATCAAACAATGAATTAAGAGCTGGGGATATTAATACAAAAATGAATCTGAGTTTAGCCACAAAAAAAGAGAGATCTCAGATGAAAGATTGAGAGGAAAATTTAAACATAAGAAATTTCAGAGAAAATGAAAATACTCATATAAATTGATGAAAAATGAAATAAATAGAATTTAAAAACTATACACACACACACACACACACACACATATATATATATATATATATATTATAAGAATACATACTAAAAGAAAAAAACTGAAATTGAACAATGATAATTATGATGACCAAGGCTGACTTTGAGGAAGTGAGAAAATGTACCTCCCTCCTTTTGTTGGAGATGCGGGGTACTGTGTGCCTGGAATGTTGCAGATGCAGTCAGTGTGTTGGTTTTGCTGAACTGGTTTTTTTTTGGTTTTTTGTTTTTGTTGTTTTTTAAAGCCTTTGTTAGAAGGGAAAGCTCTCTGGGGAGGAGAGGGGGAAAGGGAATATTTAGAAAGTGATGTAGAAACAAAACGGTTGAAAAAAAATTTTTTTAAATGGCATAGAGGAAGTCTATTGATCAGTGGGAAAGAAAATTTGATTTCCATTGGATAGCCTGATGCAGTAACAAGAGAGCTGGATTTGTAATCAGATCATCTGGTTTACATCCTTGTTTTGACCACCTGTGTAACCTTTCAGGGACTCAGTGTCCTCATTTGTAATATGATGGGGGGGGGTGTTGGAATAGATGACCTCTAAGGTCCCTTCCAGCTAGACTATTCCACGAATTGACTTTGGGAGTGAGGTCCCAGGAACCCCAAGTATCCCAAGCTGAGCCCTAGTACAAACGAAGGCTTCAGTTCTTAGCTACAGATAACTTCCTCTTACTTTCTCCAACCTCATCCCCTCCTACTGGTTCAGATGAATCTATTCTTCCTTCTCCAAAGCCAAAAAGATCACTCCCAGAAGTCCTCTTTGCCCAAACCCTTAGCACTTGCCAGAGCACTCCAGATATGGGGAAAAATAAATATAACCCAAAATTATATAACATCCATTTTGTCCAGAGCTAATTCCCCCCAGTAACTCTCTTCTATCATATGCCCCTGAGCATCACCTAAACTCCGGCTTCAGTTAACCAGGAAGCCCTCCTAAGTCTACTTAACCAGTAACAGGTGATGCCATCACACAATGACATCATCTTCAGTCCCGATGAGCTCAAAACTGGGATCAGGGCTAGAGGGTAAGGTTTTCAGGTCCCTGAAAACAACATTATTGGTCCCATTCATCATTTGGGAGAAAAGGAGGAGCCCGAGGGTTGCCCTTAGGTCTATTTGTCTAGTCTTCATCAGTCCTGGACGGGAGACTAAACAACAACCCACCCATTTTGCCATCTCTAGTTGTATAACTACTGTAGCAGATGATGTTACATAAACCTATTGGGGAGGGGCCAAAGCTCTGAGCCCCGGATAAGCCTCAAACTTAAATCTAAATTAGGGAAAGGGAGACATCCCATCCAGTTTCCTCGTCGCCTCCCCCCAAAGACCCCCAAACAAACTAATAACACCTGACCAGCCTAATGATGACGACAGGCAAGAGATCTATCAATACCCCCTCCCCAGTTCAGAATCACACACAGAGGCATCCAGATGGGAAATAATAGGGAGGAGGGTGTGTGTTAAGAGAGAGGAGAGAAACGTATAAAGTGGCGTAGTCCTGGTAGAGGCGACAGATGGCACTGCCCCCTGGGGTCCTCATTAACAAACATACAGATGAAAGGAAGAGACTAGGGAGAGGGTTTGTTGAAGGGGAAGGAAAGGAAGGTGGCAGCAGCCCCCAGACAGTCCAATTTGGGGGTACTACATCTTTAAATCGTTCCTTTCATCTCCTCTCCATTCTTACATCCTCAGCAAACAGCTGTAGTGAAGATGCTTGGAGAAGTCTAGAGAGTCTGGCTCTGTTCCCAGGGGATGGGCAGGATTTGGGGATGGGGGCCGCAAAGTACCTTTCCCTGGGTCATGGTGCAGTCTCGCGGGGAGCCGTGTCCCTGGGGCCAGGGAAAGCCGCCCAGGTCACTGCAGCCGCCAGCTCAGTCTTCAGCGTGGGTTCTAGCAATATCCACTGCAGCTCAGGGTCGAGACTGGGGAGCGTACCATGTCTGCACCAGAAAGGGGGTGGGGGTGGGGTGGGGGGGCAGGTCTGGGGATGGATTCTAGATGGTGAGAAATTGCAGCTTTGGGTATGGGGAGGGAAAAAGGGCGATGTTTGTCCCCCCGTTACTCAGAATGATGCAGTCTACCCGCTCCACCCCCCTTTAAGGGGGGAAAAGCACCAGACATCAGAGCAGCCCAAGTGGAAGGGGGGGAATAGAGGGTAGCTCCTAAGGGTAGAAGGAGGAGGAGCCAGAGGACAATGAGGGGAGGAGCCAGGGATAACGTTCCCCCGCAGCCACAGAAAGTAATTCATTGAAATCGAATCAGCTGATGTTCGTCGCTGACTATCTAGAGCTGTATTGCGGCTCTTTATCTCTTAATCCATCTCTATGATCTGTGGCTATCTCTATCTCTATTATCACTATCGCTGACACTATTCCTGTTTCAATTATCTCCATCTGGTCTCTTTCTTCATCTCTAGTGTCTTTATCGCTGTCTCAATTCCTTCAATAAACCTTTACCGCACCCCTACTCAGCGCAAAGCAAATGCGCACTATGCTAGGTACTACGGGCCATGCAGATAACTATGACAAAGGCTCAGCCCTGGAGACTCTTAAAATTTAGTAAGGAAGACAAGCAAGCAAAATACATTATGTTAAGTGCATAAAATCACAGGAGTGGATTTAGAGAGGAACATCTAGTCTGACTCATTTTTAAAAATTAAAAGCCAAAACGTTCTTACTATGTGCTATGCACTGAGGAAAACATATTTAGAAAGAGAGGGACAGCTCCTGCTTACATTTTAATAGGAGAAGGCAATGCAGTAGGGGAATGGTAACCAGGAAAGGGAGTTTGTTCTGGAGAGGTAGATGGGAGTAGAGTATGGCTATGGGTGGATACCCTACACAGATGGCATCAGTGGATGGCTGGCTGGGTTATAAAGTTGAAGTATGTTCCAGTGGTTAGGACTAATCAGTAGATATAGGGGGCTCACAGACTACTTTGAACAGTCATACATTAGGTTCAATCCATTAGTTTTTCAAATGAGAAAACTGAAGCTCCCAGAGGTTAATTGATTTTCCCAAGGTCAAACAGGTTGTAAAAGCTGCAAAGCACTGTGGGACTTCAATGACTGAAGAGACCTCTATCTAGCTTTCCTGGGAGGGAATGGGGTGAAGATCAAGGAAGTCTTCATGAAGGAAGTGATATTTGGAAAAGATGGAGATTGAGGGGAAAGATATTTCAGGGCCTAGTGTGAGCAAAATTAGGAAAGTAAAAAAATGGAGGAATTGATTTTAGGGAATGATGAGTAGTTCATTTTGATTGGTGCTTGGAGTACCTTAAGGAAAATAGTATACAAGGTTGGCAAGGTTGGTTGAAGCCAGATTGTGTAGGGCCTTGAATGCCTCACAAGTCTGGACTTGATTTAATAGATAATAGGATATTATTGAAGAATTTTTAGTGACGTGATCTTTTAGGAAGATTAAGCTGGCAACTATGTATAGGAAGGATTGGAAAAGGGAAAGATTGAAGATAGAGAAACAGGAACTATTGCAACACTTCAGATGATCTCTTTGTTGTTTGTCCTTTGTTCTCTAAGAGGACCAATGACATCAAGAGGTGATATCTTGCAAGTGAATCGGATTTAGGTGAGGCAGAGCTGTGCAAAGTCATTAGCCTCACTGTCTCCTCCAGGGTCATTGGAATCCAATGGCAAGACATAAGTCAAGACGATTTCAATGGCCCAGCAGATGATCTATTTATTGCCAAGTGTGATGGCCTTTTCAAGATAGGTCCTTGAAGCAAACAGGAGCTGAATCTGGTTAGACCCAGCCTCCCACCAACTTCTCTGCCTCATTTGACACTGTTGACTACCTCTCTTCCTAGATATTCTTCCCTTCCTGGGCAGTGAGGTAATATGTAGAATGAAGGATGATGTGTGTAAACAAAGCATAGGGAATTCCACGAGTAATAAATGTGAAAGGGAGGCCTAGCCCACAGAGTATGGATATTCCATGGGAGGCAGGGTCTACCCAGGCTCAGTTTGTATTTGTTTCAAGGACCTATCTTTTTTGTTTGTTTGTTTGTTTTACATTCTAATAATAGTATTTCAGTTTTTCCAATTACATGTAAAGACAATTTTCAACATTCATTTTTTGAAAGATTTTGAGTTCCAAATTTTTCTCCATCCCTCCCCATTTTCCTTCCGAGACAGCAAGCAATCTGATATAGGTTATACACGTGCAATAATGTAAAACGTGTCCATATTAGTCATATTATGAAGAAAGAAACAAAACAAGAGGAAAAAACATGTGAAAAAAAGTGAAAACGTATGCTTTGATCTGCATTCAGATTCCATCAGTTCTTTCTCTGGACATGGATAGCATTTTCCATCATGAGTCATTTGGCATTGTCCTGGATCATTGTATTGCTGAGAAGAGCTAAATTAATCATAGTTGATCATCTCACGGTGTTACTGTGTACAACGTTCTCCTGGTTCTGCTCATTTCACTCAGCATCAGTTCATGTAAATCTTTCCAGGCATTTTTCTGAAGTCAGCCTGCTCATCATTTCTTATGAAACAATACTATTCCATTACTTACATATACCACAACTTGTTCAGCCATTCCCCAATTGATGGGCATTACCTCAATTTCCAATTCTTTGCCACCACGAAAAGAGCTGCTATAAATATTTTTTGTACGTGTGAGTCAAGGACCTATCTTGATTATATCTAGGGGTACATATATGTATCTATGACTCTCTGTTTCAAAGCTCCCTTGTTTATGGAAGTGTGCTTGCCTAGAGATATGAGAGCAATGCATTTCTCTTGCATGGGAGAGTTCTGAATGGGATCAGAGTCTCCTCCTCCACCTTGCCTTGTGCCTCAGTTCATACAGAAGCAAGGATGTATCTCTTATCTCCCTAAAGCCACCAAAACCATCAAAACCAAAACCAGATAGGCCTCAGTCTCTCTCTTCTCTGAGCTGGAAGCAGGGTGGGGACAGTATTGAGGATCCCATCAGGGCCATTGTCCTGCTACCAAACCCCACCAGAATCCAGGAGGAAGGAGGTAAGGAAGCCATTTTCTAGAAATCAAAATGATCTACCATGCTTTGGTAGATGAAGAACCTTTCAATTTCATTTTCCTGAAAGACTCCAAAGCCAAGTTCAAAAGATCAATTACTAAACTGGTGAACTCTGGCTTACAGTAATTCTCTACTTCCAGAGTCTGATGGTTCTATAGCAATCTGAATAGGGCAGGGACCCCAGGAAGCCAGAGTTACATATGACACTGCTTTCAGCTCTCCTTCTAAATGTCAGAATGTTCCTTTGCTCGTCATCAACAACCCGCCTCCTAACTGTGGGTATATCCTAAAGTTTTCTTTAGAGCGTTCTCATCTCTCTACACCTTCTCTCAGTGATCTCATCTCCCATGAATTCATGTCAAGTCAAATCAACAAGAATTTATTAAGTGCTTACTATGTGCCAGGCACAGTGCTAAGTGCTGGAGGTACAAAGAAAGACAAATACAGTCCATATTCTAACGGGGGATAAAACATGTGCATATGAGATACATACAGTAGAAAGAGGCCATTTCAATGGAGAAGACACTAGTAGCTGGAGGGGACTCGAAAAGATCTGCAGAAAGTGGGATTTGAGCTGAGGCTTCAGCCAGGGAAGCTAAGAGGCAAAAATAAGGAGGGAGGACAATCTGGGCATGGGAAACAGTCAGCTTGAAAGCATATCGGTGGATTCGAGAGTGGCACATGTAAAGAACTGAAAGTGGGTCAACACAGTTGAACCACGGAGTGCATGGAGGCAATAAAGTATAAGATTGTAAGAGCAGGAAGGGGTCAGGTTAGGAAGGAGTTTGAATTCCAGATAAGGAATTTTATATTTGATTTTAAGGTAATAGCCACTGTAGTTTATTAAAGGGAGCAGGTAGGAAAGGGGCTATGACATGGTTAGACCTACTTTTAAAAAATCCCTTTGGTAGCTGAGTGGAAGATGGATTGGAGTGGGGAGAGATTTGAGATAGTTCAATTAGGTTATTTTAGTGGGAAAAGGGGGGAATGAAGAAATGAAGTAGGGGCACAGCTGTGTAAGTGGAGAAGAGAGGATGTACATGAGAGATGTCGTGAAGGCAGAAACAAGATTTGGTAAGGGATTGGATATGGGGTCAAGAATAAGGACCTGAGGATGACATTGAAGTTGTGAGCCTGAGTGACTGAGGGGACACTGGTGCCCTCAATACCTCAATAGGAATGGGGGGAGTGGGAGGATAATGAGTTCTCTTTTGGATATGCTGAATTTGAGATGCCTTTGGAACATTCAGTTCAAGAAGGCAAAAAGGTGATATGGAGATATAACTTGAGAGAGAGCCTAGGGCTGGAAATGGAGATCTGGGAATCATCTGCATAGAGATGTATCCCATAGGTACATATCCAGCCTATGTCTCTCTGCTGAGCTCCAGTCCTATGTCACCAACTGTATGTTGGACATTTTGACTCATACACAGAAATGTTCTGGCAAATGTTTATCTACCATCTTCCCCCCCAAATGTAGGTAGGACACACTTTTAGTAATTCTTTTTTTTTATTTTGGTGAGGCAATCAGGGTTAACTGACTTGCCTAGGGTCACACAGCTAGGTAATGTCATCAGGTGTCTGAGGCTACATTTGAACTCTGGTCCTCCTGACTCCAAGGCCAGTGCTCTATCTAAGACACACTTTTAAGCTTAATTTACATTACTAACAATTTTTAAAGTCTAGATAATCAACAAAACAATAAATCAAGTCCTGACTTATAGCTTGCTGATTTCTGAGGTAAAAATACAATGAAAATTTGACAATCACCTCTCCTATTCAAGCTGGCTCTAGCAAGCCCCTGCTACACATCTCTAACTCAATGGGTCCAAAACAGAACTCATTATTTCCCCCCTCCTAAACCCCTCTTTCTCTAAGTTTCCCTGTTTTTATCCTTCTAGTCACCTAGATTTGCCACATAGATCTTTGACTCCTCCCTCTCCTTCAGCCCCCATTTTCAACCAGTCACCAACTCTTTCTGATTCTACTTCCACCTCAAGTCCTTTTTCTCCATTTACTTGGCTGCCACTCTCTTTCAGGACCTCATCATCTGTTGCCTAGACTTTGCACCAGCCTCCTCATTGATCTTTCAGACTCAAACCTCTCCAATTCATCTTTCACATGGCAACCAA